CTATTCTATTCATCAACTTTCATTATCTTTGTTTGAATCATGAAAATGGACAGGGTTAGATTGGTCATTTCACATATCTGGAGGGCATGAATAATATGCAATTCACTTACTCCACCCCAAGAAATTTCAAATTGTGTGGGCTATGGTGTGCCTTATCTTTATTTCCCTTTGAATGCAATCAACATGGGGTTTGACTCTCAAGACACATCAAACATACAAGAAGAAAAGGAATTATGAAGAAGTGTTTTCAAATAAAGTCAAAAAAATGAGGAGAGAATTAGCGCAGTCACTGTCAATAAATATTTGGGTGAATCCTTGGTTTTCTGGCCTTTTTGTTTCCATCCTTTTGGAAGTAAAAAGAGAACGGAATAGCCAAAGTTATTTCTTTCCTCCCAAAATAATAATTCTTTTGAAGAAATTTAACTTTTTTTTAGTAATCTAATTATTACATTTAAAAAAATGAGATATTTACCAATAAATTTTATTTCACAAACAGTTTTATCGATTGGTGCTAAAATTATTTTTATTATTGTGATTAGTCCTATTAGTGAGGAAATATCTTATCAGTTGATCCTATTTCCTTTGTTTGGTAACATTGAGTGGTCAATTATACCCTTCCTTGTATGTGTCACGTGACATACATCATTCTAAAGCAAAAAGCATAAAGAGCCTTAGTGTACTTTATTGATGTGTGGCACCCATTGTGTGTGTCACGTGATATACATCATTCCAAGGAAAAAAAATATAAACAGCCTTAGTGTACTTTGTTGATGTGTGGCACCCATTGTGTGTGTCACGTGACACACCCTCATAACATATTTGTGACACACCCTCATAAAGAGTGTCACGACCCCATTCCGCCCCTAGTAGAATGGTGCCGTGATGGCCAGTAATCCGAGATTACCGAAGGTCAACTTTCAAAATTCACACACAATCAGAGTATTACATATGGGGCTAACATGTGCGGAAGAAATATATACAAATCTAATTAGTCCATAAGAGCTGTGCATAAGTCAAATGAAATGACATACATCCTTACATAGATTTACAACTTGAATATAAGCAAAATAAAATACATATTACATCTTGACTAAAAGGCTTCTTAAGCCGACATGTTCAAAATACATGAGCTTCAAGATTGCCGACATAACATGCATTCCAAAACATCTGGCAAAACACACATCTCGGCGTCACCGCCTTCTAGCTTGTTACCTGCATATATATATATATATATATATATATAATCCTTGTCAAAACAATACATATATCATAACTTGTACAAAACAAAGCATGGGATGAATCAAGTTCATTAATCAAATCTTTCAAAGCTTCTTGGATGTTAAAACATCAAAATGTATTTTGGGTGATGACATTCCGAACAAAACAAATCCACCCATTCATAGACCGACGGTAGGGGCTATCCGTTCATAGACCGTCGATAGCAGATTTAGACAAATCCACCCGTTCATAGACCGTCGGTGGGGGCTATCCGTTCATAGACCGTCGATAGCAGATTTAGACAAATCCACCCGTTTATAGACCGTCGGTGGGGGTTATCCGTTCATAGACCGTCGATAGTAGAGATCTCCCAAACATAATGCTACATGGGCTTAAAGTCCCCTAGCATGGAAGGACTTTCTAAGAATGTTATCCAAAACAAAGCGAATTACTTGATACACGAACTTATACTTGATACACAAAATAGGGGTAATCATTCATGCTTAACAAATACTTTCAAAACAAAGCAAAGCAAAGCCTTTATCAAAACGTATAACATAGCTTTATTAAAAATACCACTCACATAGTTTTTGGGATGTCGAGATCAAGGCAAAGGTCCAAGTCCTACAAACACATGGCAAAGTCTATTGAATGTACTCTTAAAAACAAGCTTTACATTAATGCAAATGATCTAGGGAAAACATGCTGGAAACATCTAGGGAAAACATGCTGGAAAACATCTAGGAAACATATAGGGAAAACATGCTGGAAACATCTAGGGAAAACATGCTTGGTACCAACCAGGTCCTGGAATGGATGCACAGAGATGATCTAGGCTAAAATGACCTAGCTGGGTGAACTCAGGAGGTCTTGGCCGAGGTCCCACACCTCTTGGCCGAGGTGTGGTTACCTAGGCTTCAGTATGCAGCTGTCTGCCGAGGTGTTACAAGGTGCCGGCATGGGTGTACCATGGTCGGCCTAGGTGTGCAGTGGTTAGCCTAGGTGTGCATGCAAGATAAACTAACGTGCAAGTGATAATGCAAGGTAGGCCAAGGTGAGATACGATGCTTGGCCTAAGTGTGTGATCTAGGCAAGAGTGGTCTCGGTGATCACACCTAGGGAAATGAAGCCTAGAAATTTGGGTTTCCTCCTTGAAGAACATGAAGAACATGAGCATGAAGAACATGAAGAACATGAATGCTAAAATCATAACTTGTTATTACAAGATCTGGGATTTCATGCTATAAGTTCGAAAACATGGACCTTGGTACCCATACTTGAAAATCATGTGGAAACAAACACAAAAACATGGATCTTGGCATGAGCTTTCGGATCAAAACATGACTTTTCTTGAAGAACACATGAAAACCATTTTCTCTTTCTAAAACCGAACTTCAAATGCAACTTCGGATCTAACGGTTCGATCTCTAGGGATCAAGCTTGGAAATCTACCTCTCTCTAGAATTCCTCTTCCTCTCTTCCTAGAGCTTCTCTCTCCTCCTTAGAACAAAGATACATAAATGATAGGTTTCTCTCTCTGACGGCTGACTTAACACTCTGCCGGGACACGTGGCACTGCCGAATTGGTTCTCCTAAAAAAGGTGACTAAGTGACAAGACATGTGTAAGACAAAGTGTATACAACAAGGTAGATGACATGGGCACTCCGGCAGGTAATGATCTCGGCTTAGGACAAAGGCTTCGGCAAGTAAGGTTCCAATGACCTCGGCTAGGAAGGATAACACTTGACCTAGCTGTGCCACACCTCGGCCTAGATGTGCCACACCTCGGTCTAGGTCATTCCAGTCCCGGAACAAGATCACTAGGTGCAAGGATCAGGGATCTAGGATGCCTAGATGATAACATCTCGGCCCAGATGATGCACATCTCGGCCTAGGTGGTGCACACCTCGGCCTAGATGATGACATCTCGGCCAATATGCCTAGGTGATGGTGGAGGTCAACCAGAGTGGTTCCAAGATGGTCTTAGGGGTAAGAGGTTCAAAGGTGTGACCTAGGCTTGGCATGACCTAAGCTTGGCATGACCTAGGCTTAACATGACCTAGGCTTGACATGACCTAGGCTTGGCATGACCTAGGCTTAACACAGCAAGGAAGGAACAAAGCATGCATACAACACTTAGGGAAAACATGATAGCATCAAGACAAGACAAGAACCTTTACCTAGGCAAAACAAGTCTAAGTCTACAAATGTAAGCTTAATAAGACAAAATCATGAAAATGCACATGAACATGACTAAGACATGAATGTGGGTTATTACAAAGAGCCTTAGGCAAAAAGCATAAAGAACCTTAGTATACTTTGTTGATGTGTGGCACACATTGTGTGTGTCACGTGACACACCCTCATAAAGAGCCTTAGGCAAAAAGCTTAAAGAGCCTTAGTATACTTTGTTGATATGTGGCACCCATTATGTGTGTCACGTGCCATATTGTGTGTGGCACCCAACAAACATTGCACAATAACTGATGGCAACAAACATTACACAATAACGAATGGCAATTGCGCCCTTTGACAACAGATAGGACTAAACGGAGCACTAGAAAACATATGGGACTAATTGGATTATAAGATCAACATTTAAGATTTATTGGTAAATTTCCCATAAAAAAAATTAATTTTCTAAAATTATCCTTCAATAATATATATTTTTAAGAATATCAATTGTCATAATTATACTTTTTGTGTTATTAATAAATTTAAAAGGACAAAATAATTTATTATTTGAAAATAATTTACAAATATAATTATTATAAAAAAAATTCATTCAAAATGATGTAATTGTAATATTTTTAAAAATTAAAAATTATAATGATGGGTATTTTGATATGAAATGAGAAGCGCACAAACAATCGTATCATTTTATATAAAAATTTTATACTAAAAGTTTGTTTGTGTGTTTTTATTGGAGTATTTTCATATAAGGAAAATGCCAATGATGACTCGAATGAGTAGTTATTAATCTTGATATACTCATAAAAAATTTCTAAAATGTGTAAAAATATATTGAAATTATAATTTTTTTGACATTGTTTTCATCTTAACAACAATTTTGTATGTTATTAGCGGAAAGGAATAACAAAGCTAACTATTTTTGTGGAAGAAAAATGCCAATGACCATCCAACTGGTCTAAAAAAATATTAATTATTTTGATGTTATTTTCATTTTAATGGACCACTAGGGTGTCGTTAGCATGCCGCTTTGTGGAATGTTAAGACACCTTAATTATGTCTCCTTGCCCACTGCATTTATGTACATTTTATGACATTCCTACCAAACCTAATAACAATTTTGTATGTTATTAGCGGAAAGGAATAACAAAGCTAACTATTTTTGTGGAGGAAAAATGCCAATGACCATCCAACTGGTCTAAAAAAATATTAATTATTTTGATGTTATTTTCATTTTGATGGACCACTAGGGTGTCGTTAGCATGCCGCTTTGTGGAATGTTAAGACACCTTAATTATGTCTCCTTGCCCACTGCATTTATGTACATTTTATGACATTCCTACCAAACCTATTCCCACATAAGATATTGAGAAGGACTTGTTTGGTAACTCAATTTCCACAAAAATAAAAAGAAAAAAATAAATAAATAAATTCCAAACACATACTGAATTTCTTTCTTTTTTCTCTTTACTCAAAACTAATTTTTATGTCACATATACTTTCCCATTATCTTTTGTAGTGTGTGGCAGATTAGCACTTGTAAAATTCAAGTGGTCTCTCTCTCTCTCTCTCTCTCTCTCTCTCTATAAAACGCACACTCCATGGCACTTTTAGGCACTACAAATTCAGACCCTCCTCCCCACTGATCCCCCATTCCGAATCTCCTCTCCTCATCCTCCTCTCTTTCTCTCCCTCCAAACACAACCAGTTAATTCTATTCCCAAATCCCCAAATCCTCTGTTTTTCCCCTGCCTCTGTTCCTAACACATTGGCAGAGGATTTCCAATTCCCCTCAAATTCTCTCTTTCCATTTCCATTCTTCAAAATACCCTTTTCTCACCATGTCAACTGTTGTATGTCAAGGACTCCAATCTTGTCTAGAGTCCCAGCTTGTAGAGACTAGAACACTAAGGCTCAAACTAGCTTCACCAACAAAACCAAGCCATAATGAAGAAACCAACCACAACAACTCCTCAAATCTTGACTTGGGTGGTTGGAGCTTCCTCCAATCTCTCTCCAACACCTCCCAAAACCCTTCCCAAAATCCCAAACAAGCATTGGAGAGAGAAAGCTTCTATGTCCATCCTATGGAGAAGCGATCCTTGTCCACGCTGAGCGATAAGAGCTTGGAATTATGTACAGAGAATTTGGGAAGTGAGACGGGCACTGACATGATTGAAACTAGTATTTTTTCGTTCCACAAAATGGATACCATGTTGTCGGTCCACAAAAGTGATAGCGAAGAAGGCGGGGATAAGCCAAAGCCGAGGCTGCTGCAGGGTATGGAAAATAGTGGCAAAGCGAATAATTGTCGCGATTTTCCACCTCCATTGACAACGATGACTGGCTGCGGTTCAATTCAAGTTAGGCCCCACAGGGAAGGCGGGAGGTTGATAATCCAAGCCATAGAGGCCCCAACAAACCATTCTTATCTTCAAGCCGAAAGAAGCCATGGCCGCCTTAGACTAAGCTTTTGGAGAGACTGTTGTGACACTACTTTTGACTCTGAAATGGGTTGTGAAGAAAATGAGGAGGAGTGTGGCATGGAAGAAGTTGAAAATGAGGAAGAAAAACAAGATTTTGAAGAAAAAGAAGAGGAAGGGTTTGAAGAAGAAGAAGAAGAAGAAGAAGAAGAAGATGAAGATGATGATGATGATGAGAGGGAGGATATGGAGGGTAATAGTTTGGAAGTTGAGGTGGAAATGGGAATGGAAAATTTTCAAAGGCCAAGTAGGTGCAAAGAAGGTGGGCATGGCAACAATGGGTTGTGTAATTGGGAGACTTTTTGGGTGGCTACTTCTTAAAAGATTCACTTTGTAGCTCTTCAAATATTCCAAGTTCCACCATTTTTTTTTCCTTGGCTTGTCCTTTGCCCTTTTTGTTCCCCCCTTTTTAATTCACCTCTTCCATTTAATATGCTTATGGTTGGTAGTTATTATCGTTATTTGGACATTGCTTCTTTTTCTCTCTTTCTAAAGTTTACATAACCCTAGTCATGTTTTTTAAATAGAAAGAAAGAAAGAAACCTTAGTATTGTCTTGGTGTCAACTAAAATTCAAGGGTTGACTTGATGAACGAGATGCTCTCTTATCTAGTGCAATGTCTGAGTTTAAATATGACTGTTGAGTTATATGTGCAGTTTTCACTTCTCTAGATTTGCATAACATTTGGTATTCAAGGGAATTAATGCATAGAGCATTGAGAGGACTCACCACTTGCATGTTCTTTCTTTCTTTTTTTTTTGGGCCTTCATTTGGATACAAAAGTGAAGGTTGTTTCCAGTAGAATTGAAAGATGTTCAATCTAAAGAATTGATAATGTCTCTTTGTTGATCAAAATTTGGTTGTTCATGGCCAATTTTTCATACAATATGCATTTGAATACCCTCTTTTGAGTGATTTCATGTAAATTTCATCCACTAGATCTTGAATTTATGGAGGTAAAAGAAAAAAGAAATAGGAAAAGAATAAAAAGAATACTTTTTACTTTTTTTTTTCCTCCACAAATCAAAAAATCCAAACTCTGCCTTAATCTGATTTTGAAAGATTCAATATTGGAAACACTTAAAAAAAGTCGCCAAAATACAAAATGATGTATGATGTTGGCACCTCAAATTTGTGTTTGTTTAATATGGACATCAATGAGACAATGACAATGAATAATAGAAACATGTTTCACAAAATTTGTTTCATTAGATTGATTAATCTTGATATTATTTAGCTCGAGAAAGGAATAAAAAATAAAAGATTGTTACATGTGCATGAAGTCTCCAACAACAACAATGATGATAATATTATGACAAACCATAAACAACAAAGTGTGATTTCAAGAAGGCAAGCATCAAGAGGGTAGTGGAATATACTAATCATCCTTTGACATTTCTCTTTCTCTAGAAGTCTTTATAAATTTCTGAATGCCACTAAATTCATAAATATATTGATAGAGACAAACACAATGTGAAAGGGAAGCACAAAAATCCTAACTTATTCCTTATTTCATTGTGGACTATTTGGAAGAACTGTAACAAAAGGGTTTTTGAACATAAATTTACGAACATTTATGAGAGCGTGAAATCTATTTTAGACTATAGCAAAGAGATTTTTCATGCTTTTAATCTAGATGTCACAGCACATATTAAAGCTAAGAGTCTAACTATGTGGTCTTGTCCAAATGCTGGAAAACTCAAGCTTAACACAGACGGTAGCACTCACAGGCTTGGAGGTGGTGGCAGATTTGGTGGAGTATTCCGCAATGAAACAGGGTCATGGATTAGTGGTTATTACGGCAGACTTGAGATATGCACTAGCCTTGAAGTCGAACTTTGGGCTGTCTACAAAGGGCTTACCATCATACTCCAAAGAGGATTCAATCAAGTGATTCTGGAAACGGATGCGGAGCAAGTGGTTCAACTGTTGAGTGAAGATTTAGGAGAGAGGTGCCCTTTTTGGGGCATTGTGAAAGATGCTCGTATTATCATGCGCGGATGTGACTGCACCATCCAGCATATTAGAAGAGAAGCCAACATTTGTGCTGATGCAATGGCTAAGCTAGGTGAATATCAACCAGCGGAGCTGCTTATTGTTCAAGACCCACTTGCGGAACTTCAGCCTTTGTTAGTCGAGGACATTGTTCACCTCTCTACGGAGGGCTCTGGGGCTTAGTCCATGTTTGTCTCTTTTTACTTTCCGATGTAGCCAAAAAAAAAAAAAAAAAAAAAAAAAAAAAAAAGGAACTCATAATTGAAAGCAAACTTAGAAGAATGCTCACATTTCTTCCTCGGGTTCATGGTTTAGAGCATTTTTAGCTATGCACTGGAAAGCAGCTTCTACATTGAAACCTTCTTTTGCAGAAGTTTCAAAGTAAGGAATATTTCCCTTGGAAGCACACCATGCCCTTGCCTTCTTCTCAGACACCTGAAATTTCGGAGCAAATAACCTCTAACATACTTCTACAACTGAGAGGAAAAACAAACACTACAAAATTTCCCACAAAACCTATAGAATGCCCTTATTCAGCATACAAATTATAGAGCAAAAAGTTATGGAAAGCTGTACAGTAATAGGCAAATCTTCCCAAAAGAAGAATACAACCAATCATCCTACAACTCCCAACAACAATTAACAGCTTCCAGTTGCTTATAAACAGATCCCAAGTACAACGCAACCTTTAGTCCTATACTTCCTCAGTAGACTCCATTTCTTTTGGAGTATCTGTTCTATTCTATCATATAAAGCAGGCAAATATTATTCTCCACAAAAAACCCTAATTTCTCACACTGGTGTCATCCTAAACTTCAAGATTTTTGAGTTTCAGATCTTTTTCTGTTGAATCTATAGCTCTCTTGATGTAATCAACTATTCTATCTCATATTCAATGATTATTTGTTTTTTATCGTGTTCCCATTTTTAAAAATCGAAAACATTGCTTAGTTGTTAATTTATACGCCCTAGATGTTTAAATTGAAATTATAGTCAGTTGTTCTGTTTGAATCGGATAGTTTTTACCTGAAAGGACTAGTTTTTCTTTGGAAGGAAAGAAAATTTGGGATAGAGATAGTCATGTCAAATTTAAGATAAACTATATCCATTGACCTGCATTATGTTCTGAGATATGGGCCAGTTTGGCATAGATTTTACAAATCAATTCTCAGAAGAAAACAGAAAAATTTATGAACATTGTGAAAAAATTTGTGACCTTGGTGTTTTAGGTCATCTTGGTACTCTTAACTGGAAAAGAAAAACTGGGAACAAAAAGTAATTTTTGGATGTTTCATGAAAATTGGTTCTTTTTTACTTGATTTTCTGAATACTGTTTCAGTGAGAGAACAACAAACCAAATGAGAATTTGTTCCTGTTTTATGTTTTCTGTGATGCTTACACGCAAAACTGTTAAAAAACCTTTCTTTTGAAGTCCTATTTATTAGATGTGTAATTTGTGTCAAAGCTTCCAAAATTTATTGTCGTGCTTCTTTAGTCTTGTGAAAGAAACTATATACCTGAAATTTTTTTTTTTCCATATAGAAAAAACAAATTATTTGAAGCACTCGTGGTTGAAACAAACAAAGCATTACTTTTTGAAACAGGTAGTAGTCTACATAGCCTATCCCCGGCTTGAATATGAAAAATTATCAAATCCATCATTTTTTGGCGCATTCTCATTCTCTTAAGATCATTGTTTTGTAGGTAGAGCGTGAATCTCTCTGATCCAGTCTTCATCGGAGTAAAATTGCAGCTTTGCTTTCAACATTATTGTAATTCTTCAGGGTGTTTAAAGTGTTAACATTTAGATACATATGTATATATATGCACAACAGTTGAATTGCGCTACAAGATTATAAAGAAGTTTTTCATTTACCCAATTATGGAGCCCCTGTGGAAGCTAGCATATCTGTTGGAGCCAGCTCCACTTACTCTTATTTTCACTGCAATAGCTGTGACATCTGGATCGGCTTTTCGAGCCCTAAATTATGGAAAAGAAATGGAGCGAAACCGTGATTTTTCAGAAGCATCCATTACTTTAGATAGGTCCCAAGCACTGATGATTCCGATAATGAGCTCTTTCAGCCTGCTGTTGATGTTCTATCTGTTCTCTTCTGTCTCACAACTCCTCACCGCTTTCACTGCCATTGCCTCCGTATCATCCCTTTACTTCTGCATATGGCCTTACATTGCCCATGTCAAATCACAATTTGGTTTGTCTGACCCTTTTGTGTCACGGTGTTGTTCCAAACCATTTACCCGAATCCAGGGGCTTTTAGTGTTGCTTTGCTCTGGTATTGTTGCAGGTTGGCTGGTTTCTGGACACTGGATATTGAACAACTTGCTGGGAATTTCTCTCTGTATTACATTTGTGAGCCACGTGCGCCTTCCCAACATCAAAATTTGTGCTATGCTTCTTGGTTGTTTGTTTTTGTACGACATATTCTGGGTTTTCTATTCTGAGAGGTTTTTTGGTGCGAATGTCATGGTTTCGGTGGCAACGCAGCAAGCATCTAATCCTGTTCATACAGTGGCTAATAGTTTGAATCTTCCTGGATTGCAACTGATTACGAAAAAGCTGGAGCTTCCAGTCAAAATTGTCTTTCCTAGGAATTTATTTGGTGGAATGGTTCCTGGAAGTAGTGCTGTTGACTATATGATGCTTGGTCTTGGCGACATGGTAAAACATCTTTTCTCTCTTGTGACTACATTAGTCTATTGTGATTCTTTCCTCCAATTATGGATTGTGGCGTCAGAGTTTATTAGAACTAAAAGTGCAGTGGTGTGTTGGTTTTAGACTTTCGTGTATGCTGCTCTTGAAGGACAATAAGTATCCACTATATTTCTGGGTCTATGACTTTCTACAGCTTTGTTATTCCTTTGTGTTAAAAAATACATACATGAAAGATACCAGCTATAAAATGTAAAATTCATCTTTGTGCACCCAGAAGAGTTTGGGGTACATGACATCTATAAACGTCAGGTTATCTTTCATGTTAGCATGCTGGTGGGAGTGTCCAAGTTGGGTGCTGTATATGTGTTTTGTAATGCTCTTGGGTTTGCTTTATGGTTTTGTAATTCATCTATAATTCTTCCTTGGGATGGGATTCTTGAATCAATATCAGTTGGATCAAATTCCCAAAGGGTGCATTAATTTCTTCTAATTTTGAATCATTAGTATTTGCACACACCATCCATATTTTGCTATTGTATGCCAATTGTAAAACCAAAATACATTGTATTTTCTTTCCCAAAATTGCTTTTGTGGTTGTGCTGGTTTTTGTATAGGATCACTGTGCAATTATCTAACTTCTTAATAAGATTTCCCGCAATTTTCTGAGTTTTTTGGGTTGTATTGGTGTTGCAGTATTGTTTGAAATTGTAAAATAAGTTAATTTTGTAGTCATTGATGATTTATCTTATTTTGTATTTCTTAACCCCCTAGTACCTTAGTGCGAGAGAGGAGGTTGTTACTTTGTGAAAAAGCCGAGAGAACCATGTTCACATATGATGCAGAAGAAAGAGGAAGAGGATTCCATAGATATAATAAACAGGGATGAAGATGAGGAAGAACTAAAGATGGAAAATGGTTCATTTATTTTTCTCCAACATTTTTGAGATTTGAAAATTTTGAAAATTTCAATTATTTTCATTGTTTGAAACTGCAAGTGTTTATTGTTCTGTTTTTGATCATAATTCAGATGTTGGGAAAAGAGTAGACAATATAAGACTCTCATATTCAACGAATAGGCGACAGGTTACAGAGGAAGAGAAGCAAAGAGCCTATCGATTAGCCACCAGACATTCATCGGATCTGCCTTCAGTTCTCATCACTATGCAGCCTAGCCATGTCTACAAGTTTTTTCTATTGGTATTTTCTCACATCTTATTCATGTTCTTATATTGATAGACCTTCATTTGTGAACCCTCACAGGTAGTCCAATAGTAAAAGGGCTTGACTTGGGGTATATAATCTTGACATCTTAAGTTCAGACTCCTTCTAATGTTGTGTCTACTCTTAATTGATATACGTAATTTGCAGATGATTAGTGATGCCATCCATATATTAGAACTGATCGTTATCAATATAGCTCATCAAATTTCTCTCATTTTCTCAGTTCAAAATTTCTCTTGTTTTTGCAATGTTAATAGGCATCATTATCTTGATTAATCCAACAAAAGCAACTCCCACATTTTGCTTCTCATCTCTGAAGACATATAGACAGAGTATCTTTTGTAAAAACAGTTTTGTAGTATTAAGATTCATTAATGTATGGAATTTCTATTTTTATTTTTATTTTTATTTTTTAAAAATTTTATATAAATTTAACATAGTTACATTAAGCTTCCTTAACCTATGTTTAGATCATAGAATATATATATATATATATATATTTAATTTATAGTCAAATTTATAATCCAAACATAGCCTTTAAACATAACATTTAGAGCTTATTTGGCTTATGTTAAAATAACACATGTTATTTTAGCACATTACTTTATTTGGGTCACATCACCTCTCTATCACATCATTTCAAGTCCAACTCATATTTCACATTTTTTTTAATAAAAATTTATTAATCTAATACTTCCCAAACAACCCTTTAAATCTTTTTTATGCATGTGTTATGTGCATACTACTATTAGAGTTAATGTCATATTACAAACTAGGGTTTATGTCTTCTTATAAGCTTGTAACCTTGTGCTACTACGGTCTCAAATTTTATAGCTAAATGATATGAGCTTCAAGTGAATGATAAGTTTCTTTGAAATTCTTTGTTTTTTGTTGTTGTTGTTGATAATTAATAGTGTGTTTGGGTCAATTTATATGTATCTCGATTAATTTCAAGATCTTAAAATTAATAATTGAATAAATCTTAAATGAATTATTTGGTTGAGAGACTTGAAAAGAAATTTAAAAAGGAAAAAAAAATATGTATGAAACAATGTGAAATGTACATATATTCTATTCACATTTTATCTATTTTTTTCTTTTTTCTTTCTAAATTTCTTTTCAAGTCCTTCAACCAAATACTGATAATTTCTTTGAAAATCAAGAGGGTGCTTTTGGGAACTGAAAGTAGAAAAATGGGTCACATGCATATATAAGAGGAAGAGGAAGAAGAACAAGATGAGGAAGGTGATGTCTGATCGTGGAGTTAGGGCATCCATTCATGATTCATCACTGACGTGAGGTGCATTTGATACTGTGCCTGCCTTCATTGTACATATACTTTTCCACTCAAGATATTCGATATGTTATTACGTCAAAAGTGAAATTGAGTAAAAAAAAATTACTAGAACACATAATAAAGGAAAATGTTTGGTAATTTAAAATTTTGTGGTTTAAATGGTTTAAATCTGTCAAAACGACGTCGTTTTACATTTAAAACAATGTAAAATGACGTCGTTTTGAGTGATTTGAGCCATTGAGCTACAAAATTTTGAACTACCTAACATTGTTGCATAATTAAAACACAGAATGAATCATATATAAAATATAATAATAGGTTGAAATTTTATTATGAGGGCAAAAAGATATTTGTTATAGAAAAATGTTTGGTGCTCCGAATTTGTGTGATCCAAATGGCCTAAATGTGTTAAAACGACGTCATTTTGCACTAAAAATGACGTCGTTTTGAGACATTTGAGCCATTCGAACTAAGAAAATTCGGGTCACTTAGCATTGTTGTTTATTATATGCAAATATTGACATATATGGAGTTAAATATCATAAATGGCATAATTTATTCGTTTAAAATCATAATTTTTTTTTTAAAAAAAGGTTTAATTATGCATTTCTAAGCCAGTAATGCATGTCATATACTGGAGCCAAAAAAAGAAGAAAAAAGAATAGTGCTACAAAACCAACATGTTGTATATATGATTTGTTGCCATCAAAAGATTCAAAACCAACCTGTTTTGGGGTTTTTTTTTTTTTTTTTTTTTTTGGGGGGGGGGGGGGTTGTGTGTGGTGGTGGTGGTGGTTGGTGTTTGTCTAGTGATTTTTTTAGTACTATTACTACTGCCAATCTACATCACAAAAGGGTCAACTGATCATCACAAACAGTGAGTTTTTAAGCCTTGCATTGTTGGTCTCTCTAGATCCAAATGCTTGAGTTAATGAAATCATCAAACTCCATAAGTTCAAGAAAGAACACCAATAATATACAAATGAATTTGTTAACGTGTATTCTTAAAACATATTAAGAATTTTTTTAAAAAAATTATACCTTATGTATAAAAATGAGTATAATAAAAAATATACAACCTTTTAAATTTGTTTATAATAAATGTCATAAGAGCATATATTTATAAATATTCTATATTTAAAAAACATGTGGGGTTTTGTTTAACCCAAAAAATGATGTGTTCTCCTATTGATTCCATGGATCATTTGGGAAAAGGACCTAACATTCTTGGCAATGAAGTAAAGGCTCAAAGAGCTTTTGTGAGGGTTTCATTTTGTAGGCCTCAAAATCCGACTTCCACTACTTTGCCAAAAGAGGCTTAGTAAAGCCAATTATAATACTTCACTAATTCAAAACATCTTTATCTTTTCTCCAATCTTCTCTTGTTTCATGCCCTAGTGGTATTCTCTGATTGGATTTTTTCTTTAATTTTTATTTTTCTAAGTATCTACTACCTTACCAAACGGAGAAAGAAAGAAAAAGAAAAGAAAAAGAAATCAAGTTTGATTATTCATAGAGAAAGTTCATGTCTCAATTAATAACTATTTGGTTTTTGTTTCAAATCATATTGTTGTCACATTGCTCATGTTGCTAAATCCTTATTGCCACTAAATAAAGCTGCCTAAACAGAGGGACGCATTTTTATTTTTAAAAAAATGTTACAACATTCATCTTGATAGAGTGTGTGGACTCATTTAAAATGAAAGCAATATAATTAGCATTGCATTCTGTGACATTTTTTTTGAACATCTAAATGAGACTTTATCTTATTCGATTTTGGAAAAATTGAGGCCTTCGACAATAATTTTTTTATAAATATTTTTTAAATAAATCTTAAAGAAGAAGTTAAATGACGTAATGATTGAATTATCTCAGTTTTCATCTTCATTCTTAAGTGCTAAGCAAATCTTCATAATTTCAACCAAAGTATATTGATGTTTGACAATCTACTCTCATCTCATTTGATAAGAAATAAAATGAACATATGTTGATATACATTGGAATGGATAAGAATGAGTTAGGAAGGCATTCTTAGTGCCAACGTGTGAGAGATCCAATTGTCTTCTTCTTATTATTTTTTTTTCCTTTACATTTTAATATAATTCCTTTAACCCTAAGAATTGATTTGTTTTTTAGCATTATAATTAAAAACAGTTACATTTCTTAATATAATGAAAGAAAAATCCATTATGCTAAGCACAAGATTGTCATGCTTCATTTAAAAAATAAAAAAATAAAAAATAAATAAATAACACAACAATATTGAAGCAACTCCAACAATACTCTCTATTATTTGATCTCGAATTTTAACTAAAAAGTAAGTTAAGAGAATCACTTTTCAAAATATCTTCTCCAACAATATTTTTTATTTATTTTATTATATTTAATATTTCTTTCTTTGTATTTTTTGAATAGGAATGATGGGTCAGCCAATCATGTCTTTCGTTAGAATAAAATATAACTTAGGGGTCCGTTTGGCAAGTTTGTTTCGGGCTATTTTAGTTACAAAAGACAAAATAAGTTATTTTAGCCATAACAAACAAAAGATCACATTCAACCCATAATTATTACACTATTCTCTCACAAAAAAAGTCAAAAAAGTCAAAAAGCCCTTCATAAA